CTGTGTGTCTGTGTGTCTGTGTGTCTGTGTGTCTGTGTGTCTGTGTGCCTGTGTGCCTGTGTGCCTGTGTCTGTGTGTCTGTGTGCCTGTGTCTGTGTGTCTGTGTGTCTGTGTGTTTGTGCGTGTGCGTGTGCTTGTCCGTTTGCGTGCGCGTGTGTGTGCGTGCGCATGTGTGTGCGTGTGCGTGCGCGTAGGCGTGTGTGTTTGTGTTATTGTATTTGTATTTTATCTATCACCGTTTTGCATTCATAGTTATAGCATTGGGTATATATTTAGTTCCGTGTTTAATTTATTGTAAAGCTGACTTGAACGCTTTTTGTATTGGATGCTGATAGATCAATGAAATTTAATCTGTTATTGGACATAAAATTTGTCTCAATAAAACCCATAACTAATTAAAATCTCGCTCGTGTGCCTCATGATTAGGCTTAAATGCTTGCTTAGAAAGATACTATATTCTGTAATATATTCATAAAATTTTATAGCATGTTATAATAATTATGTGCCTCAAATAGAACCCTGATAAATTTACGAGATACATTACGTAAATAGTGTCAAAAGAGTAAAATAATGGTGATGAAACTATTTTTTCAAATCTCAAGTCTCGTATAGATATTTTTTTTTCAAACAAACCAATGTCTCGGGCCCTTTACTGGTTCAATGGTCACGACTGACTGAGATGGTAAAGTCATCAACCAATTAACATTCCAATTTGCGCCACAGACTTTTTGCAGAATATTTATTTTAACAATATGAATATTTATTCAATTAAATTTTCATGATTAAAAGAAAATTAGAAATATGTAGCAATAGCGAAGCCTAAGGATTCGACATTAAAATTAAGACTTACCGCATTAGCGTGATGCCCATGTTTCAAATGCAATTGATCTAAAAGTGCAACGCTCTCAGTATCCATGGTGTTTCTCGAGAAACTAACATACCCTCATTATTTGAGGGCATGTCACAATTTTCTCCGTGAGTGCTCCACGAATTTTCTCGAGAATTTTGATAGTTCAGCCTATGCAATTTACATCATGATTTTCTAATATAATATAATACCAACAAAATACAAGAATACAACACTAACCTAACATTAGAAAATGTTATGACACTGACAGTTTTTGTCATGAAAAGTTCGGATATCGGAGATTAAAAATATTTTTGATAAAACTATGATAAAACTCATTATTGTTACAAAGGGGAATTAATCAATGTTCCTGGCCATTGACCTGTGGCCCTTCCATGAACTCTGACCTAAAATGAATCATTGTGAGACAGTGCTACATAAAGTGTATATCAACATCCCGCTTTTTGTCGTTTCGAGCCTATACTGAACTGTAATAAGAGTTCATGGTAAGGCACCCTGGTTCCTTTTGGATCAGTGAGGATCGAGGCCTCTCCCTTCTTAATTAATGGTACAACGCTAATTTCAGTGCAATATAGTTATTCAACATAGAGTTCACTACACTTGAATAGGTATTAACTTTTTTTTTTTATAGCACGGGGCTAACGTTTCGCATTTTCAACACCCGGTGGCGTCACTTGTCTGACGCATGTTCAAAATTTATAAAACACGCGCTTTGTATGTTACGATCATATTTCTTTTTTTAATAATAAAAGGAACAAATAATATATTCATGATAACGTAATTTTTGTAAAGTATTTAAGATGAATGGTTGGTGGAATTAGGTAATGAAATTACGAAACGATTTTTTTAAGTTAATAATTTTGTTTATTACATGATGATAGTGTTCTTTGATGATCATTTCAGATTTTTTTATAATATCAAGTCACGGGACGAACAAGTCGTGCGCCTGATGGTAAGATACACGCCTGTCCATAACAGTTGCAGTGCCACTCCGAGCTTTAAATCGCAAAGATCTGAGGGGTACTGCCACTTCGCTCGTCACCCGACAATTTGATTTCGATGAGGAGCGTTATTATAATAAGCAACATAGAGCTTTACGTCCGTCTTCTTGAACCTGTATATTTACAGTAAACATAATACATGTCGCATACATCCGTATTTATGGAAAATATGTGCATAAATCTCAACATAATTTCATTTTTATTTCTCAATTTATTTATTGCACACGTGTCTTTATTGATAGGTACGCCTTAAGGCTAGGCTAGGTACGCGTACATAATAATAAATAAAGGTACGTCTGCACAAGAACGTTGCAGCTTTTGTGACTCAATATAATAATACTAAAGAAACAGTTAAAATACTATTAATCAAGTAAAATCATACAATTTCAGATCGTCATTCAAAAAGTCACTCAGAGAGCGGTAGCACTTTGTAGGTCAATGGTATTGTGAGGACACGATGTAATTTAGACCGCAAAAAACTTATATCCCTGTTTCACCTTATTGCGGCTTTATTTATTTTTGTATGGTGGACAACTTTCAAATATTTGCATTTTATATGCGGAGTTTGTAATTGTTTATTGCGCTTAGCTTTGGTGCAATATTTTTTTTATAATATTTTTTTCATCGATTTTTTCATTACATATAGTATGTACCAATTAAAAAATAGGGAACGAGGAGGAAACGAGGGAAACGTTAGTTCTCTTATAAAATGCTGTTTGCAGCCAATTCTTGGACCTATGTTTGCATTTTTTTACACTACACTTTTTTGTAACACAAAGATAATATTGTTACAGAGAGATAGAACGCGCATGGTTAAAGCATGAGGACCATCTCCTCATAACAACTTCTCATCCATGCATATGCATAAGCCATAAGCATAATATGCTGCTAGCGAAGCTTTGAAATTAGTATTTATTCATAGGACATGAAACTATTTATTCGGATCTAAATCGTGTGTATTTGTTTTTTCAAACAAACCAACATTTCGGCCCCTTTACTGATCCCATGGTCACGGCTGACTGAGATTGTAAAGTTATCAACCAGTATGTGTAACAAAAAGCAAACCACCCTATTTTTCAATATAGTTACAGCCGCTGTGCTCGCCATTCTGCCGACATCCTCTCGTCGCCCACCTGGTGTCATCTCGTTGCACCCAAAACAACTTTAGTTTTCGCCGATGTCTCTAATATCATATTAAATTGTTAGTTAAATCTACACTATTTGGAGACGTGGGTATGAAGTGACTGCGTGAGGGTAACGAGTGGCTAACGTGCAGATAATAATAAACTTTATTTTGTTATTGGCAAAAGGAAAAGAAATCATATATTATATTTTTTACAGTTCACATCACAAATCACAAATGCATAGGTGCTTTCTAAAAACACAAAATTCTTGTAGCCAATTGAAAGTCATTAAGATCACCGCTGGAATTTTGCGTCGGAGTTTGCATAAACTCTTCAAGTTGATACGTGATAACAATAGCAGAATGTTGATTAACTTTACCAAAACTATAATCATCTGACCTCCCAAATGTGGTAAGAAGAGTGCCGGATTTTCCTGCAATCATATTGAAATTTAACGACGTGGATTTAGTTGTTTCCAATGTCACTATGATTTTTCAAGAAGCATATTAAGATATCATAGATATTAACCAGATTAATATTTCTATTGATTATAGTTATTACTAAAAAAATGTGTCGGTTGCAAATAAATATTTTGGAATAATAATGTTTTTGGATGTGTGTAAGCCACTAACTTGGTAGTTAAAACTCGACAGTCTGTACTAGTGATGCAACAGACCCCTGCTTGAATTTGTGCAATTGCGGACGTTCCACACGTTTTTTCACATCTTTTATCTTTCTGTTTCCACAACTTTATTACGGAACTTTAATCGTGAGTTTTAAACGTTCGCAACTGATCAGGCGCTAACGCGGATTGCTTAGTGTTGGTGCGCGCTTTTTTTAGCATTTTTGTGTAGTTCTATATGTGTTTACCAGCTCCCACAATTTGCTATTCTAACGGACCTATTAAGATTTATATTGTGTTGTATGGAGAGAAATAAACATATTTATTTATTATAATTTATTTAATTATGGAACCAAAAACAAGCACTATTTAGAATTATTTTGTAGAGATCTTTATAGTATTTACACTTTCGCTTTCGCAAATGGTTCCGTTTCTGCTAAGATTTAATTTTAACGTCTATTTCCGTTATGACGTTTCTATTGCATCACTAGTCGGGACCCACTTACACAAATCAGCGTTTTCGGTAATTAATAGCTTTTTAATTATTAAAACACCTATTAAAAATTGACTATAAATAATGAATACAAATTAAAACAATAATTACCGTAAAACATCCAGCTAAAACGCAAGCATATTGCACTAGAGCCATGGATGTAGCTATAATTTTAAGATCGTGTACTAGCATAAAATCTTGTTCCAAATCATCTAATGCTTCCGTGGGAGTATTCAGCGAAGGCTGTTCACCGAGGTGCCGCCTCAAATGGTTTGCACTTATAAACTGTAAGAAGATATATCATCCTTGCCGTTTGTGTAGTCTGATTGCCTATATTGTATTGATTATCGTATGGACTATCAAACTTTATAATTATATTCACAACACTATAAACATTGGTTCCAATGCATAATTGTATTAAAAAGACTAAACAATTAACAAATAGTAACATGTACAGCGAATTATTTGTAATTTTATACGGATAGATCAATCTTATATGAAATACACAATAAATTTAAGTGTTTAAATAATGGCTGTTTCTTTAGAAACGAAAAAGCTATCAAAATATTACGATTCACTTACAAATCCAATAACTGAATAGAAATATGTATAAGGAATACTAAAAAGAAAAGTAGGATTTTCACAAAATACTCTGGTTCTTCCCAAGTAAGGTCTTAGTATCGGATCTAATAAAATACTAAAAGGAAGCTTCATCTCACAACTTGTAAAAAATGCTTTGTGACATCACTTTATAATTTCACTTTGATTTAAAATTGCAATTTATTGTTAAAATGGCTCGACCACAAAACTAAAACATGAGGGAATACGACTCTTATAGAAATACATATCTGACCTAGGACTCCCTTTATTTTTTTTCATCCTCCAAGCTTATGACAGACAAACAGAATAGAAATAAATTAAATTTACGATATAATCCTCTTTGCTTACGATTTAGCAGATTTTAAAATAGTCCGTCTTTTTTGAAGACGATATGTAATGACAGCTTATTGCGCGATGTTTTATCTGTAAATTGTAATGGTCTAGAATAGAGAATCAGGGGAATTAATATTTTACTAATTTGGACATTAAGAATAAAAAAGACAATAACGCAATTATTAATCATTAGCATATTATTTCATTACAATCCCAAAACGGACTTTTTTGCAAAATTTTGCCTTCTCTCCATAGGTCAATGCTTCTCTCACAATCTATCGATGTCGCCAACAACTTCATGACTATTTAAAACCCTGCACATATCATTTTAGACTATTTATTTTTTTCCACCATCTAAGATTTTATTCCGACTTCAAAAAAGACAGTTTATGCTAGCGTCTTCATAAAAAAACATTACCTAAGCCAATGATATCTACGTATAGTCAAGACCACGTCAAGTTTCACACTTTGTACTTTGGACCGTTGTTACCATAAGCGCCATAGAGTTGGATTTAAATCTTAAGTGTCAAGCTTGACGTGTTCTTGACCCTGTACTAGCTTAGTTCTCATGCTTCACTAATGTACGGTAAGACGCTACACATCATTTGGTTAGTTGTCAGACATTCAACATAGCGAACGCAGATGCGGTGTTTGAAAATTAAGTTTCATCTATGTGTTGTTCACATTTCTCTATTTGACTAATTGTGTGAACATAAATTAAACGTTTTAAATTATTCACATTGATTCGATAATAATGATAAGTAATGGTTTTTGATTAATTTGTACATTAGGTATAATATTTCATAATTGCGAAATAGTATACAAAATTTCACACTATCCATCTCGTTTTGCACGCATGTTAAAACAAGAAAACATAAATCATACATTAGTAAGCGACATAGTGTTCTGACTACACATAATAGAATATTGTATAATACATATGATTATAACAGTTATATAATAAATAAATTTTAAAAATATAGAAAAGACGTCTGCATAATCTAAAGATCTTTCTTTACCTTTCCGCAAGAAAAGTACATAAATATGATAACATCAATATTTTCTACAACACGACAGATTTTTTTATTTATTTAATTTGTCTTTCTTTTTAGTATAATGATTATATCCCAATATGCATAGACTGTCACGTCCGTCCACGGTACTATGGTACTGATACTCTTTGACAAAATTCAACACTAATACAAAGTGACAAAACACTACCACTAATAATACCTATCCATAACAGTTACAGTGCCACTCGAAACCGGAACACAGTAATGCTGACATTACTGTAACAAATAGGTAAGGTGGCAGTGCTTCCCTGGACGAACTCTTTCACAGGGAGCTCTACTGCTACTAAAGCCTGCCAGTTCCTATTCGGCCAGAAATTCTCTTTACGTCATCCAATATCACAACGAAATATAGGTACGTACATTGTTTATTTGAAACACTACATTTATGCGGTGTTTGAAATAGTTTGAATCACTTCGTTTAGCAAGCCTGGCGGAACCTCTCAGCAGTCATACTTTTTATGATCATATCCATGATAGAACATGCGACACTTCTAACCGAAATAATTACAATTTGGCTTGTTAAGGTTTATTGTTTTCAGAGTCCACTTACGTAAAATTATTACCGGGCTAGCTATATCATGGGCTTCATTGGTTAATACAAATTGTATGCCTATATTGTGGTAGGTCAATGTTGCCTATTCATAAATGCAATTTTATTAACCTTACTTTGTTTCGGCAAAGTTACCTACCTACTTATGTGATTTTTACTTTTTTGTTATCATAATTGACGGTTTTTTATTTAGATGGATATCACAGCCATACAAATAAAAAACATTGATGTGGTTGACGAGGAGACCTATAAAGATACTTGGCATCGGTTATCGCCCCTCACACTGACACGAGATGTTTTATGATATGCTAAGTAACGACTCTAAAATTGAACTTCGACTCACGTTACTCCGACAATATGTTACATCGATATGATTTTACTTAGACATTACGCTACTCCGACAACACAGACGAGATGTTTCTTAAAAAAATCTTTGTACTCAGATAAGAAAAATCGTCATTATAAACCCACGTAGGAAATGGTTTCATAAATCTTAGATCAATATAACAAAAAAAAACTTTTTTTGGGAACACAATTTAAACCTACCCTCAAAATATAAAAGTGCTGTGTAAAAAGTAAATCGGTAATAATGTAGCATATCAATATAAAATTTTAACACATTTTATCCAACGCCATTGCGTTGATTCCAATTTGAATGAATGCCGTTTTTTGTTTACAAAAACCTAATTACAGTAAACAGGAAAAACATGAATTATTAGTTTCGGGACGTAAGAAAATTTGAAACTGCTTTTCGAAGTAGAATTTTGGACAATGGATTGGACCATTGAAATAATATATTTTATTTTATTTTAATAAAATGTTTTTGTTAGACTTTATCTGAGTGTTTTTAATGGGACAATATGGGGAAATCCGAAACCATAGAAGATATAAGAAAACTGTCTTAGGAACCATAAAGATTTATTTATAAAATAAATTTTTTGATTGTCCATGAAAATTAATAAAATGTATCAAAATTTTGTTTTGTTCTAATCGACTCAGAGTCATGAAGGGACCATTTTATTGTGTGGGACGAAAAAATCGGGGCAGCAGAAGTTGATCAAATTCCATAAAATATTTTTCATACAAAATAAATAAAATTTAATGAATTTTTTAATGCTAATAGACTCAGTTTCTTGAAAGAATAACTTCAATGTACCAGAAGAAAAAATCGGGACAGCAAAGTTGGTCATATTCAATAAAAAAAATTTCATACCCAATAACATTTAATGAAATTTGACCGCTCTGCTGTCCCGATTTTCTTCGTCCGCTACAATGAAATAATTCCGTCATGAAACTGAGTCGAGCGGCACTAAAAAATATTTTAAACAATTTTAATCGTTTTTATGGACAACTCACGCTTGACCAAAAAATTTACTATGCCACAATTGTTTTCACAAAAAAAAGACGACTTTGTGGTTCCTAAGATAGTTTCCTTGTATGTTCTATGGTTCCGGCTTCCCCATACTGTCCCATTTTAAAAAACACTCTCTGTATTTTAATAAAATAAATTTCCTATTATATAATGTTGTCCTTTTTTTGGTATATTAATCGATATAAGAAACCATTTCCTACGTGAGTTTGTAGTAGAAAAATCATCATTATTTTTCTTATCTGAGTACAAAGATTTTTTTAAGAATAATCTTGTCTGTATTGTCGGAGTAGCGTAACGTCGGAGTAGAGTAAAATCATGTCGATGTAACATATTGTGGGAATAGCGTGTGTCGAAGTTCAATTTTAGAGTCTAGACGCTTATAGAAGCACTGCAGGGGCACCACTATGGCGCTGCAGGGGCACCACTATGGCGCTGCAGCCGCGCCACTACTCATTTTCATACAATATTTAGAAGCGCAGCGGCGCGTGGCGTTACGCGCGTGTCGCTTTTGCAGACTTAAATATTGTATGAAAATTGGTAGTGCGCGGCAAACGCGCCACTATACAGCGCTTCTATAAGCGTCTAATTTGAAGGCGCCTAAACCAGTGTAAGATTATAACTTTATAGGACAGTTTAAACCGGTGTCGCCGCACGCATACATTTGAAAACGTAATCTTAGTTTAATACTAAGATAACATACTTTTGATTGGATATAAATTATCAAACGAAACTAGTCAACAGTAAAAAAGTTTTTGAATTTATTTCGAGTTATTTGAATCCAACAAGGTTTTATTATTACTAACTAATCATTTAAAACTAAGAAACCTATGAACAACAACTTCTTGAAACAAAAGCAAAAAGTTATATTTGGTATAATTAGGGTTGACCACGAAGTGTATAGCAACGGCACTTAAAGCAATTTCTTCGTAAACCAACGTAACGACTTTTCCACGCACACATTTGTTACCAAATAAGCATAAGGTTTACTACACACAATATTAATTGATATTAGCTACGCAGGAGTGTGCGTAAAGCAGCTACACAATACAATCACAGTATTAATGATTTATTGAACTGTCATCGTACTTTAACATAAAAAATTTCTAGACTATCCGTTCAGTGGAAGGGTCAAATATTAAAACACAGTCATCATAAAAATCTTTATTTTCCCTTCAGGGAAATTAAATATATTTCAATATACTGACTGAATAAGACAATACCTACAGCGTCGACGAGCTTGTCAAGAAAATGAAGATACTTTTTTCTGAAAGCGAAGAAGCGAATCATTTGTTCCAAGAAAACTTGGTGAAAAATAACTGACAATGATTCAGAAATATTTTCACATTTAGATGTGGTCTATAAACATGGGGAAGGCGTGTCATGTTTTACCTGATTAACCAAATTATTTATGCCCCTGCCTTTAGAAATATTCTGTTGTTATTCATAGGTATATAATCTGCTGTAATAAAATGCCTTATAGCAAACATTTAGCTTTTCCTGCCTGTTGCTTCAGCCCATTTCTCCTTTAAAAAGTATCCGGCGGGAAACCCGGGAAACAAAAAAAATCAATACTAAAAAATTGCTAGTGTTAATCATGCCCATAATAAAACTAAGAACTCATTCGGATGAAGGTCACGCATAATAAGCAAGACGTAGACGAGGGAAAGAAAGTATCAATTCTCATAAAGCCTTCAGTTGATACTTCACGAGCTTACGGGCATAGTAAAATTATCGATATGCTATACCTCTATATTATATTATATTTCCTTTTTTCTATTAATATATCGTTTTTCCTTCTCAACCATAAACTATAGTTAACAATACCCGCGATATTGTGAGCGTCGGGACCAAAACATTTAAGTAATCAACATTTTTAGCTTTTAAATAGCCAACGTGTAAACACTTATTGTTTACACATTGGTACCTACTTACCGCTATAATAAAAAAAATGTTTAAACCACAACTGGGTTTTTAAATACAGAGTTTAGTTTATCGATAATTTGATTACTACACGCAGACCCACTACCAGGGTGATCCTCTGTACGTCACTAGTGCCAGCAATTCATTGAGCGTCATTTGAAATCTTCTTTTGACGGGGGCGATGAATAGCAACCAATGTTTATTGTTATAATGGGTTGCCACAACATACTTTTGTTTCGAAATTGTACTGTTCAAATTATTAGAGAGTTTCAGTACTTACCCATGAAATGAAATCACTCCCGAAGTATTTTTTTGTTTTGTTTCTGGCACTTTGCGGTTTGCGTTTGTGCCATTGCAAACCAGGGAAACTTATTCACGGAAAACAATGGAAAGGGAAAATAGTGCGATTAAGGTTAAATAGATTCCTATTGTTTCACACAAACGTAAGAATCTTATGACAAACAATATATAGCTGTATATTTATAATTTGACACAATTGAAAGTTATAAACGAAGCGAAACATTTATATATTATAGGACTATTAGATGACAAAATAAGCTTTATAGTAGTAGAAACAGGGAATCCAATGGAGATGAGGACATGGAACAAAAAGGAATGATCATATAAAGGACAGTTGAGTACAATATGATTCAGAAAATCTATCTCTCCTAATGGCATAGTTCTATTTTTTTTTTTACAATTTTTTTACATTTGCCACAACATTTGCAACAACTGCCACGCTGTTGATACTCATGGGAGAGTCTGCTCATAGGCTAGGTAACGCGTGTCCCGCCTACTAACCAGTCTATAGTATTTGTTTGGTATGTGGTTGAGGACTACCTGAAAATCTTCCAGGCCAACCATTTTAAAGGGACAAGTAACTACAACAGACTTGATGGTATCGATGGACGACCGATTAGTAGATGCCATGTAGATCCAATGACCGATTAGCGGAGTCGATTGGGTCTTACAATCTGAGGATTAATATCCTTACTATCCACTTCCTTTTTACTAGCCTCACGAAGGAAAGATAAAACGTTGTACAATACTTGTGATACAAATCAATGTTTCAAAATGTTTTGTTGTTTTTATTTTAACACTCCATTTATTTGTCCTGATTAATCTCAGGACGAAAGAATGTTAAAAACTCATATGTTGCACAGGTATAGTTTTGTCTCTTGCATGCTTAAGAGCATTGCAGAGTTATCGCCAAGTAAATTGTGGTTGGCCTGAGGATTATATGAAAATGAGGGTGACGAAAAATATATGGAAGCTTGACTTGTTACATCTCATGTTCATTAATATGAACTTAATACGTCCACTGTCCATTGCGCTCTGATAGAAACTAGAACGAATGAAGGATTGAAAACATCTCAGGATCGGTTATGGCTTAGTGCCACATTATGTTAGGTGGAAGTCTTTTTATAATATTACTACTAAGTACGATTACTTTAGAGCTGCAATTACTTCTGATAGTTCGGTAGGTGCCTACTACTGTATTTAAGACCTTTTACGAAAATAATCAGTTTATTATGACATCTAAAATAATCTAAGGATTAAAGTAACTAGAAAAATTTGCTACTTGAAATACAGTCGACAATCAATCGAAAAAGTAGAAAGAAACAAATATTTTAAATAACTAAATTATATAAATACTATTACAGTAAATCCTGTCCTGCAAGTAGTTAGAAGCGCATTCTATGAATAGAGCCTCCTTTATAGCAATCTTTGGAGGTAATCGCTTACAGCCTGCATTAAGAACATGATATAAGAAAGGATGGAAACGAGAAGTAGCAGATACGAAAGTACCCTCAGCATCCACAAAAATTCGTTGTTCCGGCTTAGCAACGAATTTGCGTTTCATCACGTTATCTGATTCCTGTACCTGGTCTTTATCTTTTGCAGGGGTACTTACAAACGTATTTGGAGATAGAAATATATCATAAACTAGGACAAACTGAGGTTCTGAATTATTTAAGATTTCGTTTGGTGTCTGTCTTATTACCATTTCCTTCCAAGCCTTAAATCCGATTACATCCGAAGGCTCGTCAGAGAAATTCTTAGGATGATTTGGTGTAATATTCATGTCAGTTGCAATTCCTTGAGTGACAGAAGCGCTTGAACTAGCTGTTTTCGTTTTGATAGTTGTTGCATTCACTGCACTCTGTATCATTTGGTACAAGTTTTGTTTGCTATCACCGGTGGTGTTATCGTTATCAATGCTAATATTAATGTTAACGTTAACATCTCTTTTGATAAGTACAATATTTGATGTAGTTAAGTCTGCATCAGCAGACACTTCGGGTTCATTCTTTTTAACCAGAGAAGAAGATTTAGGGATGCTAATAATATGATCTTTAGATATTTTACTTTTCAGGTTATTCAAATCGGCGTTTGGAAGATCGGAAGTCATAAAGATGGTAGGTGTTTCGGTCATGTTCTCTTTAGTTACATTGAACGACTGTACACTACATGACATTATTTTGGATATTATTGCTTTAGTTTCATGCATAAAGTTTGATAGCAGCGAGTGAAGTATTACAAATAGACGTTCATCTTCGCCTACTTTATTTAGAATTTCATCAAACTCTTCCGGCTTTACACCATCGTTATGTAGTCTTAAAATATCCGCAACCCGTGAATCAAATTTTTGAGTCATGTATTGGGTGTAAGACACAGGCAAATCCAGAGCTATTCCCCCATGTTGCCATACAGAATAAACTCTGGCATAGAAGGGTATAAAAGACATAGGAATGCTCCTCCACAAATATTTCAATGGAGTTTGGGCCATATATTTACTCAACAGCATTAAAGTCGTATTCACGTTTGGATATCTCTTGTGAAATTCTCTAATCTCCCGCTTATTAAATTCTTCATAAAATTTGTTAGAGTGGTAAGCATAAAGTCTATCGTATTTAGAACGTTTAAGCGAAATACTGTTAGGTGAAAATGAATCATCGATTAAAAAATATACGTTAATGCGTAAATTAGGGTATTGGATAGCTATTGCACCAAGATATTCAGAATAGATCATGAAAGGAACTAGAGCGCCCCGGGGGATCACATGGTGGTAGAATACGTCATTCGCTGGTTTAGAATCGTTATTGCACTTGAGGACGATGTAAGTTTGATGTTTGAATGCAATCATGCCTATAGCGTAGAAGACTAGGAAAGAGACTCCCAGCAGAATAAAAGTCATCCAGCATGTTGACAAATATTCTGTAAACAAAAAACCGAATGTGGTATCACATTGCACTAATATAATAATAATATAATAAGGTATCTAAAGTGATGTAGCGCATTATTTTAAGACAAGCGCTCATGAAAATAATTCACTTAAACCTAATTTTGTGCTTACAGACTTAATAGTACAGGTGCTCAGCAGAAATACATCGAAAAACACTTCTGGGTTCTGTTGTTGAAGACGCCGCAGTCTTGAAAAAAGTCGGACGATTTGCTTTTTCCAACCGTAATAATATTAACGCTAGGCATATTATGGCTATTATTTTTTTTATTTCATTTTACTTGTGATCAGATTTGCAGTTTAAAAAATGATAGGTCGTATAGTTTAACTTGTGCATGAGTGTATTCTGTGAATGCACAGTACCCCGTTCAAGGGAATGCTTTCCAATTGTAGACCTACATTATAAAAATAATAATAACGCACAATTCAACATAGCCCCGCACTAGGGAAAACCTGTGTCGCGGGTGCCATGGACACACACATAGACAATGATTATAATAATTACCAGGGAACCGATCCAACAGTGAACGTTTCGTTTCAGTTGAAGATGGGCGGCTGGACAGGCTCCAGAGCGCTGAGAAACTTCTTGGTCGAGGCACCCCATCTCCCGCGCCGGCCACCATGAGCAGTGGAAACTGCTCGTCACGTTTTGTTTCTGGAGGGCTTTCCGCCATCTCGTATACTTACTTAGGCAATAATGCGAGTACACTCTTCTAAAATATCAAATATAAAATGCCTTATTCATTCAAATTTAATGGTAGCACTTAATCATGATAAATGCTAAGTTATGGAATAAAAAAAGAGACTAACTGTATGTAACTTCAAGGTCGAGTCCAATTGAAACAAAGTTAAAGGTTAAGTCGCAGAGTGAAATACTTTCGACCTATACAATAATAACATTACTGCACTTTCAATATTCAATATTTACCTGTTTTTTGAAACCACTTTATACACTTTAATTCTGTATAGAATATATTTAAAAGATATGCATTGACTTTTGTAATAATTTGCTGTAAATTTTTGCTTTTTAATTCCAATTTCAAACTAAAACGTCACAATGCTATTATTTTCTTTTACCGTAGATTGATTTCTTTAAAAGATTCCTGTAAAGAAATTCTTATATTTATTAGTTGAAGTAAAAAACTTTACAACTACTTTACTTTTTAAATGCTGGATTCAATGATCTTATTAAACAAAAGTTCAAATTGGTATTCTTATATTATAGGTTTTTTGAGTTAGGAATTCTACATAAGTGCTCAAAAACTCTACAAAAAATATTTATGACTAAATGTTTATTATTGTTTTGTTTTCATAAATGTACCTTGACTAATTTTCGTCAACTCAGCAGCAGTTGTAAACACTCACAAGACGTGAGGCCGATACGTGCGACCAATTGATGTTGAATCAACAATTTAACCCGGAAAGTAAAATACACATCGTAACAAAATGAACTTCCAAGCGGTTATTGTATAATAAAGTCAGCTTGTTTCCACAGTTACACCGTATACTGTTAACACGCGCGACACTTTTGTTTATTATTTTATAATGTTAAGTTGAAAATAAAGTGAAAATATTTCATACTTCAGAGGTAATTAATTATGTTCTACTTGCTGTGCATAAACATCACCATTCTTTTATGAAAATAACATTGTTCACATAATATCAGTATCACCAATAATATGTCCGTTTTCGTATCGCATTTAGCTACATAATCATTTTTGCAAGTTTTATTTGCATGTAATATCAAAATACTTATAGTACGATTTTTATCAGAATGTTCTCCATTTGAATGTGAAATAAGAGCTACATTACACATATGAATTAGCGTGTGGTTTTTTGCTTTAATTTTCGAAAGAAATCTCTATGAAATGTCGTCTAGTCTACTTTGCATCGTGTAATTTTGATAGATGTCGGAAAATTTTCAGTGAAAAGTCAATTGACACATGAATTTCTAATTTTATCGAGATTTCCGAATTGTTTTTATTTTTTGTTAAGTTTGTTTTGAGTGCTTGACTTAATACATTTCCTTCGGGAAGATATTGGTTTTTGTTAGGTATTGTCATCGTTTGTTTTATTAATGCATTTTTTTACCTTACCTACTGATTTATTTACGAGATAGTAATATTCATATACATCGTGATTGCCTTCATACTACTCGTTGGTATAATAATATTCTCATTCATCTTAATTATCCTTGCATGACTTTATAGTAGGTACACCCAGATAGGTTTTAGGCCAAAGGGAATATATAGGTATTGTTACAATCCCTTACATTTCTGACATAAAAACTTAATCTACTTTTAGTTTTAAATAATTTTGTGACTTCTTAAATTTGGTTTTAAAAGGCAGCACTACTATTCGAAAATGGGATACAAATTCCACCAGACACAAGATAACATTAGGTCCAAATTTATAAGCCGCTATGCGATTAGTATCATACATTATTTTAATCTTCAGAATTATTAAATCTGAAACATGTAGTAAACTGTTTAAGGTTTTTCTTTCCAGTAAATCACATGGCAAGTGATGAGTGAAGCATATAGAGAGCAGCATCCGCTCCTGTGCGACGAATTTTCCGAAGAAGAACAGTACGGACCCGACTACCCGCGTCGGTGCCGACAGGCGTATCGTGGCTGGGCCCGAAACAACATAAAAGGTGCAGCTACTATCATCACTCGGTGGCCGGGTAAATATTTATTTCGCTACTTACTTTCAGTGTAAAGCAAAATTTTAAATACGGACCGTAATATTAATCGGAATGCTCACATTTTTTTCTGTCTTTACAGATCATTGGTCGGCTACACTCACTTACTGGTGGATAGGTCTCAGCATGATAGCCGTAACGATTTTTGTCATTTATAACGGTGTGATAGCTTTCGCTTTGTTGCCTCCCAACAACCTTAGACCTGCTAGACCAAGAACATTGAACAAAATAGAAAGTACAATATACAATAACCATTCCACTCTGCCCAATATCTTTTTGCATGTGTTTGTTAATTCAAACGACAAAGTAGATTTAAACAAGTACATGCCTTACTTAGAAATAATTTCTGAAAAACATCACAATTTCAATTACAATTTCATTATACTCATCAACGATACAACTACTATCACAAATGTACATAGCGCTGAAGTAAATAATGAGATTGCTTTCAATTCTTTATGGGCTAAAGAACATATTTATGAAAACCCAAAAACTAATAAAGGTAACATTAAAATCAAATATACCTCATTATCTAAATATTTAGATGAATCTCCTTTAAAGAATGATTGGAAGATTCTTCCATATCATTTCATTGAATTTCTTGTAAGAGCCATTTCTGTTTGGGACAAGGGAGGAATTGCAGTTAATCCTATAATCCTAACACCAAGATCTCTTCACGTTGTTTACATAGAAAAATTGAAAGCTATCTTGCAAAAATATGAAAAAGTTGATGACATAAAATCAAGTGAACTAAAAATTAAAACTCCTTCATTTATGGATAAGTCTAAAAAGAAAGTGAATAATATACGAGATATAATAGACATACTAGAAGGTGAGGACAATGCATATAATAGCAATTTTACTGATGACAATTTATCCGAAACCGAAGACAGAGAAAATGTTGTCGTTGCAAAGGATGAACGTACATTGAGATCAACTGGATCTAAAGTAAAAAGTGATTTCGCAGAGTCAGTTCATTACTCAGTAATTCATAACAAAATGCAGTCTCTGTCAAAAATTAATGACACTGAACACTTAGGAGAAAAGCAGTATTTTGAAAGCCTCAATAAACATCATGAATCCCAGAATTCTAAGAATGTTCATGAAAATCACAATGCATTACAACTTCAACCAATTGATATAAACGATCCTTCGAAATTTAGTTTATTGCCATTGTTTCTGGAATTTCTTTTTCACGACAAAACCAAATTTCGCAAGCTTCACATGCCTCCAGAGAACATCACAAGGCACCGCAAAAGTGTTCTACCTATCATCGAGCATCTTAAACAAAACATAACTGCTACTGAAAACAAAACCAATATTATCAACAAGACAGAAGTAAAGGACACTGGTAACTACAAGCCTATGATAATATCTGCAAAAGGTGTTGTTAGTGACGATCTTGCCAAAAAAGGAGTAAATGGAATATTAAACAAACATGATAATAATGATTACGAACTGACTATTGATTTAGCAGGCAATATAATTGCAACGAAAACTGCCTGCCATGCTTTTATTGGTACTATTTTCAACGATGTTCACAGGACCACACAAGAAACCGTGAAAGATTTCATAATAGCTGAACTATCATATTTTTGTAAAGGACTTTTATCATCTTGTAAGGGAATCGACGTGATTTTACTTTAGTCCATATTTGTTTAAACTTAATTTATTGTTATTTTAATTATAGATTCTTGTAATAAAATGTAGTAATTACCAGTTTGTGACGTGTCTCTGATAAATAAAAGAAAAACACAAATTATATTTAAAAATAATTTATTATTGAAAGTCGTGCTCGAAATATTGTTTTAAATATTATTATATTAGCTTACAATATTTTGATCACAAATTTTGTCTTAATTTTATGGCAGCATAACTATGTATTACCGTGGCTTATAAGATGAGGAGGACTAGATAACGTCATAAATCAAAATTTTAAATGTTTCTTATTATAAAATGTTTCTTTTTTTTAATGTTTCTTATATAGTAAACGATGGCTGCAAATGTACTTTATTAATACATCGTTAAACAATACAGAGTGGCGACAAAAACTAAAGCTAAGAAATGTAAAGGACATTAAATGTACTTTATTTACATCTTACACATATTTCCTTCTACATCGTTGGCAATTATTGCACGAATGCATATTGTTGCATAATCTTGAACTCGTTACATCTAATGTTTTGTTTTAATTACATCTCCTTTTCATTTATGGTGCCACGTTTCTTCTCTCAATTGGTATGTCCCATCTTCCATTCCAATTATTATAAGAATGCTTGCAGTCTCTTACCTTACGTTTAAGTTCGCATCTTCTGCTAACCGACCAGTAGACATAGCCTTGTGGGCACTGGTAAATGTAGCCTCGAATTTTATCTACCTTTGATTTTTGACATTTAAGAAAAGCGGTTGAACATTCATACTTTTCGAAAGGAAAGTAACCAACTGTTGGGCATTTCAATCTTTCCTCTGTCACCACAATCTGAAATATATAAAAATGGAAAATATGTTAATCGAGAATTTTGTAAGAAAATACCCTTGAAAAGTAATTACTTACAGGTTCTTTGTGCTTAGTGTCCAGACGTTTATATCTTCGCTTTTGCGCTATTTCACCATTACATTTCTTGTCTGCTTTGTCTTCTTCTACACATTTTACTTGACTTTCATCATATATTGTATTATTAGGACAATGGAACGTAGCTATGTTTGAGTCATGTGTATCATCATCTACTGTGCACTGATAGAATAGGTTGCAATACTTAGGATGTCTCTTGAAAGACGTTGGACAAACGAACAAGTTTTGGTCATCATCTGTTTCAGGACATTCTTTTTCTGAAGATGAACTGCTTTCTGTTGTGCTGTCGCTTTCTTCTGTCTGACTCTCTTCGGTCTGACTTTCCTCAGTTTGATTTTCTTCAGTTAGATTTTCATCGGTTTCATTTTCTTCAGTTTGACTTTCTTCAGTTTGACTTTCTTCAGTTTGACTTCCTTCAGTTTGACTTTCTTCAGTTTGACTTTCTTCAGTTTCGCTCTCCGTAGTCGATTGTTGAGTAGTGCTTTCTGTTGACTGTTCTGTGGTACTCTGTTGATCATTGCTTTCCGTAGTATACGATTCTTCTGATGTTGTCTGTTGGCTTGTTGTAGATTCTTGTGTAGTCTGTTCTGTCATCTGCTGACTAGTTGTTTGCTCTTCAGTTGTTGGCTGAGTAGTAGCAGCTAGTTCTGTTGTTTGATCAGTATGTTCAGTCATTTGTTGTGTAGTGGTTTGTTCGGTAGTTTGTTCAGCACTTGTGGTTTGTTCATTTTGCGCAGTTGTGTTTTCTTGACTGCTCTCAGTAGTTTTCTTTGTGGTAGTTGATTGTTCTGTTGTGCTTTGCTCGGTAGTAAACTGTTGCGTTGTAGTTTCTTCCTGCTTAGGTTCTTCTGTCGTTGTGGATTCTTGTTCCACTGTTTCAGCTTGTGTTTGTGATCCATTGCAATCCCTTGAGGGATAAACAGAGTCTTCGTGATTGCAAGTGTCGAGAGCAGGATCCCAAATTGTACCCTCACCGCATTCAAAGTGATATACTGAGAATCTCTTGCCATCTCCGTCCCAATCAACACATCTGTAGAATTTTTTACAATCGTCAGGATCCGCATAATATCCAGCTTCAGTACAGTTCACATTTTTATTTGCCGGTTTTTTAGATGAATTTTCTTGGGAACAATCAGATGATCCATTATTATTTTCCGTAGTACTAGATGATGATTGATCAATTGATGAGCTTGTTGTTGTTGAACTTGTAGTAGATGACGTACTACTGTCATTTTGTTTACAAGATGGATTTGAAACATCTTGAGGATGATTACACGTTGTGATATCTTGATCCCAAATTGTTCCTTCTCCACAATCAAAGTCGTATTTGGTAAAACCACCCTTTCCATTATCAACACATCTATAAAATTTTTTACAGTCTTCGGAATTGCCGTAGTATCCTTCTTGTTCACAAGAATCGTTATTTGTCGGTTTGGAGCTTTCAGTACCATCTCCGGAACTAGTACTAGAACTCTGGGTCGAGTCTTCATCTTGCATTGGATTCGATTGCGTATCTTGACTTTGACAACCTTTCACCTCATTAATGTGATTGCAAGTTTCAATTTCAGAATCCCAAGCTGTGCCTTCCCCACAACTAAAGTCATATTTCGTATATCCACCATTATCATTGTCTACACAGCGATAGAAACGTCGACAGTCGTTTGTGTTTGGATAAAACCCTTCTGAGGTGCATTCGTCATCTGAAGTTGGGGATTCGCTAGAATTATCACTGGGATATTCATCGTCTTCTTTGTTAGGTTGTTGAGATTGCCTTATAGTAGTAGTAGATAATGATGTATCTGAAGTACCTGCCTGTTCATCGGTAGCTTGTGTTGTGGTTGTTACAGGACTATTATTATTTGGTCTACTGCAAGTAGAAAGATCATTATCATGATCACATGCTTGAATTTCTTGAACCCAAATTGTACCATCCCCACAAGAAAAATCATATTTAGTAAATCCATCTTTACCGTTATCCACACAACGGTAAAATTTCTTACAATCGTCTCGGTTAGCGTAAAATCCTTCAGACGTACACTGACCACTGGAACTTTGTGGTGGTGATTCAGTTTTCTGTGTAGTTTGCTGATTCTCCGTAGAAGATGGCATAGTAGAAACTTCATTTTCTGTGCTTCCCTCAGAAGTGGAATTAGATTGTGATTGTTGAGAGGATTTACATTGTTTACTACCACTATCATGGTTGCAACCCAATATTTCTTGATCCCAAACTGTGCCTTCACCGCATGTGAATTCATATTTAATATAACCTCCTTTTCCATTATCAACACATCTATAAAATTTTTTGCAATTATTCTTGTCTCCTACAAATCCTTCTTGTGTACAAATGTTATTACTTGATACATAAGGTGCTTGTGTAGTAGAAGTAGTAGATGGAGACGGCTGATTGTAACCTTCATCTGTACCTTCCTCGGGCCCTTTTTCAGTTTGTGTCGTTTGACTTGTATCCACGTACTCGTCACTCATTGTTGGCTGAGTGCTTGAAGTTGGTTCTTTTTGAATATCTGATGAGCCTTCACCACCGCATTTCTCAACCGCCCATGCATGATTACAAGTGTCGATCTGCCTGTCCCATACCGTACCTTCTCCACAAGAAAATTCATATCGAGTATAGCCTCCCTTACCATTATCCACACATCGATAAAATTTTTTACAGTTATTTTTGTCTCCCATGAAACCGCTGGAATGACATTCATTACCGTCAGATTGATCAGGGGGTCGTTTTGTTGATGTAATCTGCTCGGGTTTATTTTGATTGTTATCATTGACCGCTGGATTTTGTGTTGTCGTCGATGTCTGAGGCGGTTGTTGATTTTGATTCCCATATCCAACATCTTCCTCTTCTTCTGTAGTAGTTGTTTGCTGTTGAGTACTTAGTGTGGGTTGATTTGTAACAGTATTTTGAGAAGACGTTTCAGGAGCTTGACTACCACATTTTTTTACTGCCCATGCATGGTTACAAGCTTCTATTTCAGAGTCCCATACTGTTCCTTCTCCACAAGTAAAATCATATTTAGTGTACCCACCTTTCCCGTTATCAACACATCTGTAGAATTTTTTACAATCGTTTTTGTCTCCCATGAAACCGCTTTCTGTACATTTATTTTCATTATAGTTGTTAGAGGGTGTTTGTGTGTCACTTTGTTCTGTGTCACTTTGGCCACTTTGATTTTCATCTTGAGTTGTTGGACTCTTTGAGGTGGTTTCATATTCCTGCGTTTGTGATTGACTAGCGTCTTTGGAATGGTCAATCTGTAATTGTGTCTGAATTGCTTTGTTTCCGTGATCAATTTGAGTTTGAGTTTGACTGATAGCGGAGCCGTAACTGATTTGAGTCTGATTTTGTTTTGATTCTTCATTTTGTTTTTTATTTCTATCTCCGTAGTTAATTTGGGTTTGGTTTTGAATAACAGATCCGTGACTTATCTGAGTTTGTGTTTGGCTGACTTTGGAACCGTAACTTAACTGTGTTTGTTGTTGAGAACTTGAAATTGAAGAATCAACATTGTTTGATGGCTCCATAGTAGTTTCTCGAGATTTATTGTCTTCGAAATTACTCCTTCCACAACTTCTTTTTCGTACAGCCCAAGGATGATTACAACTACGTATATCGTCATCCCAAATAGTGGCTTCGCTACATGAAAATTCGTACCTTATGAAACCTCCTCGTTGATTGCCAACACATCTATAAAATTTACGACAATTTTCGCTATCACCCATGAACCCATCGGATGTACATTGATCGTTTCCTTGAGAACTTGGTTTTGTTTTTTGAGCGCTAGCAGGACCCAACAGATAACCTGAATTTAAACTATCTGGTATTATTATAGGAGTTGTCCAGGGATAAGATGCAGGTATAGTTTCTTTTAGATGTTCATCTGGATACAGTGGTTTACTGGTACTGATTGGTGATGGTAATTCAGTTGGAAACCACTCTTTTGGTATTTCATTTTCTTGGTATTTTGCTGTAGATGGAGATGATGAAGCATTGTCCCAACATTCAGATCGTTTAGTGCTACGTGGGTGGTTACAGACTTCCGTTTCAGGATCATAAACGGTTCCTGGTCCACATTGAAACTGGAAATATTACGAAAATTAGAACCTAATTGCATTGCAGTATTTTGTCTAAAACATGTTACTTGAAATAATTATTACTTACACGAAAGACGGTAAATTTTTGAGTCGATGACTTTACGCATCTATAAAAGGTAGCACAATTGGTTGGATCGGGCTGAAATCCTTCTCCAGAACAATAGATTGGTTCTGGTCTAGGCCCAGTGTAAAGTTTCACTATACGACCGCTAACACGCGGTTGGCGGATATCGTCTGCTATTGTATCTGAAATTAAAAGGTTTTATATCAGTGCTTTGTTGACAAACGGTCAGTTTTATTAAATAAAAGATTTTTTTTAAGACGAACCATTGCTTATGTGGGAAGTAGCTGCTAAACAACTACACAGTAGAAGTATTGGTAAGAACAGTTTGAAGGCAACACTGTGCACGACCATTTTCATACTTGGCACTATAATCAAAATTTCATTTTTTTCCTTTTGTTTCCTGGTTCCTGCAACAATACGAATATATATGTATATTATCCAGGTCCTCATGTGTATCAGTCTATTAAATTCACAATCTTGGCAACTGTTGCCGAAACTGTACTTTAGAACGTGATCATAGTGTGCAATTGTAGTGAAACTGATATCAATGATTTTATAAATACGGTACAATAGTAGTGTATTGCACGTAGTACTAATTAACAAACTATTCCTAATTTAGGAAATGAAACTATTTTTCCGGATTTAAATCGCGTATATTTGTTTTTTCAAACAAACCGACGTTTCGGGCCCTTTACAGGTCCCATGGGCACAGTTGACCGCGGAAAACAAATATACGCGATTTAAATTCGGAAAAATAGTTTAATTCCCTATGTGTAACAATCGCGAAAACCTAAGAACTTGATAATTCCTAATTTTGTAAATATTTCCGATCTTGTATCTACTTCGAACTAAACTTCAGCTATTAGTAGGTAAGGACATAGTTAAATTTATTTTACTCAGTTACATAGATACTGTGAGGTTTCTCTCAGGACAAATCAACGAGAGCAAGCGTCCTTAGATAAGCGAATGGCGACAGCATTGTCCAGAAGATTTATTGGGATGTGTATTCCGGCTTCTTTCAGTACATTCACCTGGGCTGCCTACGTGTTCTATAGACTATTGCATTTGTATTTAGTTCTTGTAAATAAAATTTTATTAAAATATGTTATTTTACCGAGGGTTTTAGGTTTTAAAATTTTAACCACTTTGTAATCATACCACGAAGACAAAAAAATCATGGATCAATTCATGTTTTAAGGATTATAACTTTCAAATAATCATAGTCTAGCGTTTAAGTATGTTTGTTAAAAATAATATCGTACTTAATTATCATGCCCTTCCATTGTTGGATAAAGAAACCTAATTATGAATTACTGCTCTCAATTTAATTTACAAATTACGGAGATAAATTTTGTAAGCAGTAGAGCTCTTTGTGAAAGCGTTCGTCCTGGGAAGTACTGCCACCTTACTTATTTCCGCCGCTAAGCAGTAATGTTAGCATTACTGTGTTCCGGTTTTGAAGGGTAAGGGCACTGGTGAAATTATAGATACATTGGACTTGTCAACTTATGGCCCAGGGTGATAGGCGCAGTGGCAGTGCCCCTCAGATCTTTGCGATGTGAAACTCTGAGTAGCACTGTTATGGAAAAGCGTGTAGCTTAACTTCAGGCGCACGACTTGTTCATCCCGTCACTTGATATTATAAACAAAAAAGATACAAACTTTCATGGGTTAAATAAAAGGCAGTATTTATCTTACAATATTGAAGTGCCAAAAACATAGCTATACTAATGGTTTTGAGAACGCTCATTTAAAATGATAAATAGAAATGTTATGTTTTACTTTACATAGGTACTGAGATTAAATGACTTTGTTCTTAAACATAGTAAATATAAATTTCAAGTTCAATGTACAATGTCAATAACCTTGCTCGGGGTTCGATTACATAACACTCGAAACAGCCGGTTTGCATAATGCAACGAGGGCTCTTTTAGCTCGATCTTTTAGCTGAGTCAAAAATATATTGTGTTCATTTAATGGATTCAAACTAGTATATAAATACAGCAAGATTTACCCTAGGTTACCGCCCTGGTGGAATATTTTCTTCAAATTTAAATGTGACCCATACTGAAGTACCCTCTTTCCAACTAAAAAGTATCATCAAAATCGGTTCACAAACGGAGTTAACGCGTAACATACATACGAAAAAAAAATACGGTCGAAATAAGAACTTCCTCCTTTTTTGAAGTTGTTTAAAAATAATATGTGCACCTATTTCCTCCCATCATTAGCCCCCACCTTTAAATTGAGCTTAATATTCATGTTAAAGGGTATTTAGAGAGTCATTTAAACGAAATGTAGTGATTAATAGAGTTTTACATAAGATTTTTCGAAATTTCTTACATTTAATCAAAAGTCACTTAAGTTTGACACCTTTTTATTTTTAAGACCACCACACTATAATTACCCGATCTCAAACTAGCAAATTCCCAGTACCATGAGTACCAGAGCAAAGGAATTTCACTCTGGACCGCTACCCAGAGAACCTAAATTGCTCCTACCGGGGAATGAATCCAAGAACGTCAAAAACTTTAAACTAGAAAGAAAAACAGTCCAATTCTCATCACAGGCCATTTACAATCGAATTTAAATCTTAAGTATCGATCTTCACGTCCTCTTGGTCCTGTATCGACACACATTTACTTTTAATGTTAACATTAATTTAACTAAACAAATTCTTAAATCATCATTGACCATGTAAGCCATGAATATATCAGCCTTTTTTATTATCGAAAATAAATGAACACGCTGTTTATTCGTTACATTCATAACTTCAATGATCGAGCCGTAAAATTTTTTAGCGTGTATTTTAATTGCCTTGCCAGTTCAATTATTGCGCCCCCAGGGCGAGTGAAGTTATTTTTTTAATTCTTACAAGATGGTTATATTTAGAATACTTAAGACGTTGCATATACAAGAACGAGTGTAGGTAATGTTGTCATCAACGAGAATTATGATGCATGCGGCTTATTTATGGACTACCTCAATCTATTTATTTTATTCATAAATATTTTTCCTATTTTACAGTACGCCATCACATCGTTATGTACTACTATATTTTTGTTAAATTGTTCATCTGTATTACTTAAAACAATCTTCATTTTAGTAAGGCAGTGAAACTACTCTAAATTGGATAAACATGAAATAATCTTTAAATTATTTTGTACATTATTCGAACTAATTGTAATCTCCAATTACAAATGCACTTGCAAATAGTGTTATGCGCTTCGATTCGCCAAGACGTTCATTGTAGGTGGTATAAAATGATGTATTTAAAATGATAGACAGGACTTATGTATGTTATGTTGCAATTGAGGAAATAAATTTATATCAAGTTAAAAGATTTTTCTTGCATTTGGAATTATTTATTTGAGTTAAAAAGTATACTGTTGAAGTTCTGATGATATTTCCATCTGAATTGTTTAAGACAGATTTTAACAATATCTCTCCTACTCACACTCAGGAGCATGGACTACTATCACAACTACGAACAGCACATTTAAAGTCCAATTATTTCAGTAGGCCTGAATTAATGAGACCATTCAGTGTCATATTGTTTTGTGTCAACGTAGTTTCGAACTGCCACGAAAAAGCAAATACTCCCTGTTTTATATCGCCCCTTCCCGTAGTAATTTTAGCCTGAATTCCCCCATCACCAGAATGGTAAAAAACTACAACAACCTGGCATTAAAATTTGACAGTGATATTTTTTGTATAACCTTAATAAGTACAAAAACCGAATTAAAAAGGCTACCTCAGTCGCCACTCACATGAACATACATTTATTTATACATTGGGGTTTGATGTTGCTCGCTTCCGTAAGTTTACCCTTGAGACCCTACAAGTGACCCCTGGGTGGTGCTAAAGGGCGACAACTACTGGTTGTAGGCTTCGGCCGTGGCTAGTCACCACCCTCCCGACGCAGTCGAGTCGCCAAATGGTTTTTACCGTGTTCCGACTCTTGTTCAGAAGTTGCCATTAGGAGGTCGGGTCTGAACAGCTGCATTGCGTCTGACGACGAGTTGTAGCTGCTTGTACCACACTGAGCACTCGGTTCTGGCACTAATGCGAACGTCGTCGCCCGACGATGCGCGTATTCGCGCGTCGCCAAACATTGTAGTTGAAAAACAGGACGCGACGCGACGCTTCGACTCTGCGCCAGTGTGAGTTGAGCCTTAGAGCATGAAAGGCTGCCCCACCACCCAACGATAAATCCCGGAATGCTCCACCTTGCCGGTTGCGACTGGAAGGAAGGACCAGGTGGCCATCTCCGGGGGTTCGGGCGTCACCGCAGTCTCTAAACCGATTATACCCTCGTATGGTAGTGTGACCTTGGGGCGTAGTTGAACACGACGCAATGCCTCGTCCAACTGCCTTCCTCTTGCCTATTCGCTTCTCCTAAAATTATGAAAGTCACAGAAAAGGAATAAAATTTTCACAGCGGTTGCACGTCCTCCCATTGCAAGTGCACCTCACTAACATCAGAGGGCTGCACTCAAATCTCGATTCGGTCCACTGCCACCTTGAAACTTGCAAACCGCACTGCTGTTCGCAGATCGATTGTCCGACTGAGGCCGGTGAGACGTAGATCAGTTGTTCGACTGACGCAGCGTACCTCAGCTACCCCGGGTATACTCTGGAGCAAAGGCTCGTACCTCGTCCCGGAGTCTGACGTTCGTACCTCACCCGATCAGGGTCCTAGTGGTATGAGACGGGTGTGGCAATACAGGTTAGCAGATTGGGATGAAATGCACCATTTCTTTGCGTCATATCCTTAACAGGCGTGCTTTACTTCAGGAGACTCGTTGAGCTGTGCTGATGCTGTAGTCGAAGCTTACGTTTGGATATGGAGTGTTACATACCATACTCTGATGTACCCAATGGACCCCAAACTCGTCCATGGTTTAACGCTGACTGTAGCTGTGCTGAAGCATAAAAACAATCCGCGTACCAAGCTTGGGCAGATGCTCGACTGCGCAAAGCTCCGAGTACTCGGAACTTAAAGAAAGCTTTTAATAAGACCGCCAAAAAGTGCAAAAGTGTGTCACCTAGGGCCAAGTTCGACCATGTGCGCTGCATAGGGGCCAAGTTTGCCTCTTATGCAGCAGGTAGCAAATCCTTTTCACACTCTTTCTGCTGCATATCAATGATATGTTAATTCCAGGTACCTATGCCTATGCTGATGACAGCACAGTTGTAGATAGATACTTGACCAATGCAAGGGTCAGTGGAGAGGAAATCCTATCTTGTCGAGAGTCTATGGTTAGCCATTTGGATTTCATACTCAAGGCAGTCTCCGATTGGGGCGATGCCAATCTTGTCAAATTTAATGCTACCAAAACGCAGGCATGTCTATTCTCCACAAAACGGAGGCCCTTTGAGCTGACTCCGACTTTTCGTGATGTAT